TAGTAACCTCATTGTCGTAGATATTCTTCGGAGATAGTTTCTGAAAGATGCTGGCGCTGGTTTTCGATGAAGGTAGGATTATACTAATGTACTTAAATATAATTTAGTTATTTAAAACGTTTGTTTATGGACAATGGACAATCGCTGGTGAATCTGGAGAAACATCTGCAACTATCTTCTGTCTCAAAATGGCCAGCCGCCTGCGGACATAGTAATGTCTGATGAAATTGTCGTCCCACCATTTGGATGACTATTCACTGGGGATGGGGTTGCTCTTCCTGCAATTCAACGTTTCCCGCATTAGATCAAGGTGCAATAGTATGGCAATAAGTTTGCAATTAAATCCGCATGCGACTCAAACAGTACGCATTTACTGACGGTTATATGCGATTGAACTCGATCTAGATATGAAATCAGTTGAAATGGATTGACTAGTGCATGACCAATTTTTTTATCCTGCAGCGATTTTGCATCTGATGGTATTAAACCTCCCACAGGAAAGGTTAAGCTTGCCGTATTTGATCGATCACTCGCTCCTCCCCAATTCGAAGGCGGGCTGTGTTCAAGCAGGGTTGACTGTTGAAATTATGCAGTATTAAAAACAGTAGATTCACTAAGGTATTTCAAGAAGCAAAATAAGTAGAAAACCAGATTGGATACTAAACGGCTTACTGATAATTAGCGGTAACCAGGTTGAGTTAATGGCATACGCCTCTTTCCGTTCAGTCGTCCTTTTAGTGTTGTTTCGCAATAATGACTTCAGTAATCTTCCTTTTTCTCCTGTTTCACGCTTCTTAGAATATCTTGATTGATTAAACGACACGGTTTTGCGCATTATTCCTAATGCCATCACTGAACCTCTTTAGTCCATTTTGTTTGTACAATCAAAGTGTAGCTGTGTTTTGTCTATCAGCACTCGTGCAGTTTTCATCGTGATCAGAGTCGGCACAGAGTGTGTTCAAAGCGGGACACCTCCCCATCGAATTTTACTCGTTTCATTGCTTTCTTTGATAAAGGACCCCTTTGGTTCTATGTGAAATAATGTGTTATCTTTTAAAAAAGGTAGTTCTTTATGCATTTTTCTACTGAGATTCCTTTTTTTAAACTGTCGATCAAAGCCTGGTGTCAAATTCATCGAAAAGATAGCTGTAGGATTGTGATTTATTCCGTTCAAATATCTCTGTACATTTGCGAAATATTTGAGGACGAAAAGAACCGGCTAGCTGTTTTCTGTTAATTCACTGAGTCATTATAACGGTTGTGGTCTTCAAGCGTAAGCCTAGACTTCGTATTTGCAGACATTACACCAGTTTAACCTTCACAGGAATCCGAGTGTACGCTATCATTAATATCTATTATCAGAATCGGCGTTGTAAGAACTCACAAGTCAAAAATTTTCGAATTTTGTTGTCTCGCTGATGCATTTGTGCATAAAAGCTTTTGTGTAGGGTAGAGTTACATTGACATTATGTACTATTAATTTATGTGCACATATATTTGTTGTATCAAAGCTGTAAAGAAAGAAATTCTTGGACATTGTTTCAGAAATAATTTTCTTTTCTTTCACCTTTCGAGTCAGTCCATGTTGATATCTCCTATTTAAATCGCCTGACCTCCCCCTACCAATATGTGCTATGTTTTTTGACTTAAAATTTCATCCAATCAAATTAACGGAAATTATTCTATATGATGCGGCGATTTAGTCTCCTCCACAACGAAAGCAACGTTGCGCAATATAATCTTTGTCGTATATTGTTATTTCGGCGTTCGAAGGCAACGGCTATCTTTGGAAGAGGTGCGGCATAGTGTAATGCGCGAATACGCGGGCAGCCAATAACTTGATTCTCACGTCGGAAAAGCTCAGCTAGTCAGTCTGATTCGGTTCGGGTTGATAAACCTAGTTCCTGACAGTTTAGGTCTAATCATAGCGGTTTTTTTAAGGACCACTATAAAAAGAATAACTTCTTTTGCTACCTTTTGATATGCGCAATCTCTAAGTGGCAGTTCGGCTGAAAGATGTGAAAAATATATCAAAGAACTCATTGATATAAAGATATCAATGTTCACTTCATTGCAATGATTAATTATTCCACATCTGATTTGAGAGCAAATA